CTTCAAGATCCTGGAATCTTAAGTAATTTCTTTTCAACCTGGCCTGCATTTGCAATCTAGAATTTAAATCGGGTTCTTGCTCGTCCTCAGAAGATCCCAACAAACAAGAGAGGTCATAAATAGGAAGAGTGGGGGAACAACAGGGGACTGGATAGTTTGAAAACGGAATTGAAAGACACCAGCTGACATGTATCTCTCAAATCTGGCAAGCAACTTCATGGAGTATGTCTAATTGTGATTTGCATGGTGGGGTTTTATTTGTTTTATTGCCCAAATTCTAAGGTTCCAATTTCCCAGTGTAATGCGAAACAGCTCGCTGGCGCTCTATGGCTAAGAGCGGTTTCGCAGAGCCAGTGAATTTTGGACTCAGAAAGAGACATGAATCAAATTATCTCATTTCAAGAAACTAAGGCCAGAGAACTGAGGTGTCAAGAGCTTTGGAGCTACAGACTGTGGGTGGACTTGGCTCTCCTTCCTGCATGTGCCGTCATGACAGGATTTCCTAACCTAGCCGTCTGAGTTTCTTCAACTATAAAATGAAGATAAGAATACAACCCTTTGGGTTGCTGAGGAGGGGTATACAGAAGGAAAATATTTAGTTGCATCCTTATAATACTTAAAATGGCCAATAAATTATTTTATTGCTATGTCATCAGCAGTACCTGGCATTTACTGTTCGTAAGAAAGATGAGTTTTAGTATAATTATTATGTTAGTACTATTTTTACAGATTGAGGTAGCAGAGGGTACTGATTTAAAAAGTAGATGTAGTCGTGCATATCTTTAATCCCAGGATGCAGAGGCAGGCAGATCTCTGTGGGTTTCAGGCAAGCCACTGAGGCCTTGTTTGGGGAAAAAAAGGAAGGCAAGAAAGAGGGGGGAGTAGAGACCTAGAACCCCATGATCTAAATCTAAATAGATTAAATGACATTTAAGTCATTCAAAAACTTAATCCCATTTAGGATCACACACTGAATATCCTTAGTCAAGAATTTTCGCAGGAGGAAGGAGCTATAGTTTCCCCGGAGTGCTAGGCACAGGGCACCATTGTTATGCATACACTCAGGAAGCAAGTACATTCTTACAGCTCAATAGAGCTTGTGGAAAGACTGTAGCTGCTGTCACACAAACACACAAACCAGGAACTACTGCAGCAGCTTCCTGAGTTGTGTGTGTGTGTGTGTGTGTGTGTGTGTGTAGTAACACTTATACTAAACTAGTTATCAACACAGGGTAGCTACTTGGCTGCTCTGGAAAGCATTGCCAAGGTTCCTGTTTCTCTGGACTTCCATTTTTGTAGCTGTCATTGCTTTTGAGGCCGGAGCACCTAAACTATGAAGCGCACATGAACTGAATCGCACAGTTCTGGTTACAAAGCAGCTCCAGGCTCTACCACGAGCGTGTGAGGATGATGCTACGGGTCTCAGGACCTCACTCGGCAGCACTGCAGGACTCACCTGAGTACCCTTTGGAGCAGTCTACTAAGACAGGTACTTAGGAAGCAGAGTCACCTGGGAAATAGAAGCAAAGACATCCGCTGAGAGCACAAGGCTGCACACCATAGATGCAAGACACACCTGGCCAGAAAGAAATGTACATGAGAAGGGCCGAGTCTCCTCGCCAAAGGATGGCCAAGGCTTCTGTCTTGCCCAAGAAACAGGCTAGTTCTTTAGCCTCTGATAACCTCAAGAAACTGAAGCCCACAGGATCCTTTAAGTGATTCCACGACAGGGGATATAGGAATATCTTCCTATAGGGGACCAAAATGGCAACAGACCCCTCCACAGTAACAGGGGTCCTTTAAAGACCCAGAGGCACCAAAAGATGATTTTGAAGACTGACTTGTCCCGATTGTTAAGACTCATAGACTTTTAAAAACTCTTTGAACTGGTTTTACAAACTTTCCTGCTTCTAGTTTACAAAAGAGAAAAATCTTATTTCCCCATGAAGGGTAAACTCCTGGTTGGCACTGAAAATTCCCTGCCTTACTCCCACCAAGAAATGATGGCCCAGCTTCCCCTGGAGATTTAGGAACCACACCTACACCATGGGGCCATTAAATTCACCATTTTCTGCTATAAGGAGGAAAAAAAATGATCTCAAACATTCTTCCCTCTCCCCCACTCTGCTCGAGACCCTGTTTTGTTTGGTGTCACTAGAATTCAGAAAATATTCATAGACTGTATCACACCATTTAAAATTGTATTGTCTTTTATTTTCAACTTTTTCCAGAAAAATATTGCTTTCTAAAATAAATTATATAAAATTGATATAGATATATTCTGCAGTCCTCTCTAAACAAGGCAGGGCACAAAGCAGAAGCAGGGCGAAGTGACCACGCTGGGAAGGATAGCTCACTCAGGCATTCCAGACATGCAGTTTTCTCCAGAGTCAGTGTCTTCTCAGCAAGGGGTAATTAATTTACAAATTCATCTTTGGAAAATAGGCCTGATCCCCAATACCCTCCCAGATACCTTGCAAAACCCTGGCGGCTTTTGTGTATCACAGAGTTTCTGCTTCCTGTGATTGGAGACCCAGCCCTGGGTTCTCATTTCCTTGATTCTGATCTGGTTCCATCAAGAGCTCACCCTGGTGATTTAAAGGAAGAGGCCCATGTAGAGCACCTCAAATCCAATTGCACCCCACTAGGCGAACAAAAGCTCCTCCAATGAAGGAGTTGTTAAAAAGGAGTCCTGTGAAGCTACAGTCTTAGTAGAGTTAAGGAGGCCAAGGAGGATCTCACACAGGAGTTTCCCCGGGATTAAAGAAACAACTGTCACTTTAAATGCCATTAAATTGCTGCTTCAAATATTAGTGTCACTCATATATTAAATGCTTTAAAATTCCCATGAAGCAGAAAGAGGAAGGGAAGAAGGAAGGGACAGAAGGGGGCGGACAAAGGAAGGGAGGGAGCAAGCCCCAACTTTTGGCATATACCCATCTCTTCTGCTACTTGATGTGAGCCACTGAGGAATTAAAATAGGCAATTAGAAAAGGATCCTTGCCAGAGACTGTGTGTCTGTTCACCAAGAAATAAAGTTACAAGACCCACACCTAAAAAGAAGACAGGAAAAGCACAAGGGTATTGGTGTTGAGATGGATTCCCTAAGAAAAGGAAGAAAGCGATGAGGTTGACTACAATTCTTTATAGAAATGTATGAAACTGTCAATTACTTAAAAAAAATTTCATCAGATTCAGCAGAACCATAGTTAAGGGTGAGAAATTTGCCCACACACTGAGGCTATCTGTGATCACAGGCAGAAATCTGTGCCCAGGACCTGTCCCCACCACATCTGATTCCCTTGGCCCAGCCTTCCCCTTGGAACCTGTACCCACATACCCAGTGCTTTCCAATATTTCATCAGACTACTCTGACCCTGTTGGCTCTTTTATTTTTCAAAGATCTACACTCCTTACTTACTGACTGCCCTCTCCTCCATTACAAACGCTGCTGCCTCGCATAGGATCCAAGCACTTACCCGCTTAACTCCTACCAAATTTCAGCTCTGACCCTCCTGGTCTTTGAACTCTAACACTCTTAGGAATTTGAATAGGCAATTGGAAGTGTAAGCTTAGAGGAGACTCCAAGGTCACCCTGCCAGGTGCTAGGGGATTGTCCCATTCTGCTCTAGCCCTCCCTGGCACCTCTGGCAACTAGCACCTGGGTGTAAGGTGCCCTGTGAAGCGAAGAGCCCCTTGGTAATCAGACACGCGTCTCGAGTCTCCAGCAGCAGATCCAAGACAGAAGAAGCAGCGTGGCTGCTGCCTGAAGTTTGTTATTCCACTACTGATGGGTAAGTATAGAAGCTGTGGAAAAGCGGTGCGTTTCTTCGAATATTAATATTAATAGCTACAATAGTTAGCACATGAAAAGACCTTTTCATCTTCAAAGCACTTCTTGCGAATTAACCCCTTACAGCCCTCTCTGGCCTGGGTTCTGGGAACAGCAGGTAATAGAGGAATAGAGGTCACCCAGCCCGCCCTGCGTGATCCGGAGCCTGCCAAACCAAAGGGGTTTCTCACTAGATTAAAAAGGTGCTGAAGTAATCCAGACCCCAGTTGATGAAAGAGTTAAAAGTGTCAGTAATTTTACAAATCAAACGGAGCGGCCAGAGGTACGTTTCGGGATCTGAATTTCCTGTTGTTTCCCACCCAGTTCCATGCAGCGATACAAAATCAGAAGGAAAACAGCTTTGGGATGAAAACCAAAAAAGGGGGGGAGTTTTACAATGGAATCATGATCTAATGCCACCCAGCATCTTTGGACAGTCCCCTTGCAGCAAAGTCTGCTTTAAAAGGTTTTTAGCAGATATTATTAGAGTAACAAGAAGACACTTGGAAAGTGGAATTGCTGTCCCAACTCCAGCCTCCCTCGGTAGCTGGGGCCCAAACCCTCAGTGCAGGGAAGAAGACCCCTCTAACCTGCAGACACCCCCACAACTACCGACCTACAGGGTCTGCAAGAATTGTCGGGCTTTTGCAGGACGTAAGTCACAAGGTAGAAGAAACGACCCAATAGGCTGGCTTGCCTTCAGAAGGTCCTAAAGGAGGGCGATTTACACCCCCCCCCATGAAAGTCATTCATTAAATCGCTGAAAAGGGGGAGGGGGCAGGAAAGGCGAAACAGTAGACTTTCACCAAGAAGGAAAAAAGAAAAGCGCGTTTCTAAGTGCAGTTTTATTTCTCCGGAAGGGTCTGCAAAGGACATTCACGTTTGTGAAGTGTCATTTGCAAGGATTTACAACGTGAGTGGTTTTGCCTTTGGGGGCGGAGGTGACAAAAGTCTTGATTTTGAACTTGTCTAATGAGGTTAGGAAGTAATTTTGAAAAATATTGTTAAACAATGGAGTAGGTAAATAGGGAAAGAGGTTTTTTAGGAAAGGAAAAGAAACCTGTTGTTTCTTAAAACTTTCCCAATTTACCCTTTAATTCACAAAATATAGGGGAGGAGAGGAAAAAATGGGATGAAAGTTTTCAACCGAAACTCAGCCCTCACTTACGACTTTGCCAGAGAGATGGGCGAGGAATGAAGCGAGCTTCTCCGAAGGTCCTGCGGGCTCTTTCCAGCTACTACCTGCGAGAATCCTCCGCTCCGGGCTAAAGAGGATGCAGAGACCATAATGCTCCTAATAGAGCTGCCTCCTGAAACAGGAGGTGTGGTCAAGCAAGAGAAGCAGAAGAGGCGGTCTCCAGGCAGCCTCTGGCACTAGGGCAGCAGTCAAAAGCCCAGCAAACAGTGTCGCTGTCTGTGGCAGCACCAAATCACACCTGATTGTTTTTATCCTTCAAGTGATACCTCAAATAAATATAACTGAGCCAGGGGCAGATTTGGGAGGAAGGTAAACCCAGGAGAGCAAGCTAGATACTTGGGGTGCTCTACTAGACATGTGACTACTTCTATTACTTTCTCAGTGGAATTGTGTTCACCTAGGCCGTGAGTCAGGGGAAGGGCAGGTTGCTGTAAATCACTCAGGGGAAGGTCTCCAGTCTCTCACTCTCTCAGGGGAATGTCTTCTGGACTTATATTTCTTGTTGTTCTTTATTAACCCGATGTGTGAAGTGTGTATGGTTCACACTGTGTGTGTGCTGATAACCACGTGTGTACACTGTGAACATCACAGTGCATCCCTTCACAAAAATCAGACGATTTGGGTCCATATCATGCCAGATGATCTCACCAGCCTCCACTCTCTAACCGGGTTTGAAAGAAATGTAGTCACGCTGCCCTGACTGTATGTGGAGGGGAGCTGGCCAAAGAGGAAGCTGGGGTTTCTGAAAAATAGTGCTAAAGTGTCTCTTCACCTAAACCTGGTTGCAGGTGACCTTTGCCACGGAAGAGCATTGGTGGCGCTGATGACTTCGGTGATGCCTGCCATAGGTGAGAATTAATAATGGCCCTGGTAATTTCAGGTGATGCCTAACATCACCTAAGATGAGCCTTGGTGGCGCTGATGGCCTTGGGTGATTTCTGGCATAGGTGAGTGTTGGTGGATTTGATTTTTCTGTGATGTAGAGATTAAAAGGCAGAAATATAAACGTGTATCATTTTGAGAAAATATAAGCAACACGGAAGTCTAGAAGCCACTCTAGATAAACACACACAGCATCTTTTCTTCCCTTTTCATTCACAGGGATGATGATAAGAATGTCACAGAGAAATCTCATTTCTGTGAATAGAAAAACATTGGGAAAGTCTTTATCTGCCTGCAGTTTCAAGACTTTGACCCTAAGATTCCATTTATATTGAGTAATGGATGAGTCAAGATTTGCACAATTGCTTCCTTTCCTTCTTAATGGAGACACAAATACTCTACTTGGAAGTCCACAAAGACCTTCAGCGTCATTCAGAAAGCCATCGTGTTTATCCTTCATTGTACGTGTTAGTAGCGCAGTTCCTATAAGCTTGTGGCTAAAACAGTATTTAACGCTCATGTGCCTCTCCTGTGTATAAACAGGACTTGGATGAAAGCCATGCTTTGCGATTGGCTCAGGCAGTTTAGTTTAATTAATGTTGTACACCGGGCACTGTTCTCAGGCCGAGGGATCTAACCAGATCGCATTGCTGTGAGAAGAGCCACACACAAGCCAGCCATCTCCAGAGAGCAGAATGTCAGCTGTGAGAGAAGTCTGAAGCTAAGCAACCTCAACTTGTCAGTTAGTTCAGGCATGCTGCCCAGCTTAAACGGTGCGTGGTCAATTAAATCCATCACAACTCTTTGCAATCGTAACCACTATGTGTACAATATAACTGGAAAAAATAGATGTCCATTTTTGTTCTATCAAAGTGTATCAGATAATTGAGAGACTTTTTGCCCTGCACTTGTAGAATCATATACAGTCACCTGTAGGACCTTAGGGCCATCCTCTTCTGCAAGCTGTCACAGTACAGAGGAGAAAAGAAATCCAAATGGTAAAAAAAAGAAGAAGAAGAAGAAGAAGAAGAAGAAGAAGAAGAAGAAGAAGAAGAAGAAGCATTGCTAGCACAAAGTGCAAAGTGCCTAGCCTCTAGGCCCTAGAGAATGAATACTCAGGAAAGCAGAAAATTTTATTTTCGACAGTATCTTCAGAAACACAGCATTGGGTAGATATCTACATACAAAAGAAGTAGTGAAGCTAGATTCCTACCTTTGGAGAGTGGTTTCTGTGCAAGCAGAAAGATCTGAGTTCAATCCCCAGTACCCACAGAAAAGTTAGATGTAGCATCATGTGCCTGGAGTCTTAGTACTGGGGAAGTAGAAACAGAAAGGTCTAGCTGGTGCATCACATCTCGTGGGCAAGCTCCGGGTTTGGGAAAACGCAGTCAGTAGTGCTAGATGGACAAGCTCCAGGTTCAGAGAAATGCAGCTGGTCTCGACGCGTGGACAAGCTCAGAGTTCAGAAAAATGCTGTTCAGATGGTCTTGAATCAAGAGTCTCCTGTGAATGAGCATGACTTGGAAAAAAGAAAAAAAAAGAAAAAAAAACCCAATTCCTTGGTACTGGTTCAGCCAGTTTAGTTTAGTAAGTTCTGCGCCAGGCCCTCTTGTAGACACGAAAATGGAACAAGATCACACTGGTGTGGGAAGTGAGGCACATAAGAGAGGGACATACATGTTTCAAAAGGAAATGAGGTGGAAAGTGATTAAGACATGTGACATCAGCCTCTGGCTTCCATACACACGAACGCTTACCCACACAGTCTTCTAAGACGTTGTGATAATAAAAGTTATGCCACAATAAAAAACAATTACTCTGTCTCAATTTGTATTAAATAAACCATAACGGGAATAAGTGCCGTGATCCCAGATGGCCCAGAGCAAAGACAAATAATCCTTCAAAACAAGGGGTTATAAACTAAGGCTAGGGAGGTGGCTCAGTTGGTACAGTGCTTGTCTAACACCTAGGACATCCTGGGTTCAAACCCAGCCCTGCATACACTGGACGCGGTGGCTCACACCTGAAATCCAGAAGAGAGTATTGAATTATGGCAGGCAGCATGGTCTCTGCATTCCATAGAGGTGGCTTGCTGACAGAAAGCAACTTCAAGGAGACAAGCTTTAGCTCAGAATTCCAAGTGACAGTCCCGCCCTGTGCAGAGAAGTCATAGCAAGAACTTGAAGCTTTTAGTCACATCACATCTGAAGTCAAGAGTCTAAGACAAGACGGCATACATGTTACTACTCGGCTAGCCTTTTCCTTCACATGCGTGAACCTGGGCCCAACCCATAAAATGGGCTATCCACATTCAGGAGGAGTCGTCTCTCCTCCATTCATCCAGTTTTTAAAACTTCCCTCACGGGCATGCCCAAGGTCCAACTTTAATGAGGTTATCTCTCACTGATACCCTCTTCCTAGGTGAGTCTAGCTTTATTGAGCTGACAATTAAAGCAAGTAACAACAGAGAATTATGCCAAAAAAAGAGCAGCTTTTTTTTCTTAGCCATATGTTTGCAGGTTAGCTTAAATGAAGGATGCCAATGTGATTCAGACGGTTCCACCGAGACAGTAGAGCATGCGTGAATTTCCAGGGCAATGGCCTCCAAGCCAGGGCTGTTCTAGCTGTGAAGAAGCCGTTTCCCCTTTCTCATCCTATCAGGCTACTGTGCAAAGCACAGTAAAGAAGGAAAGGCAGTAAATTCCTGGATAAAATGAGTGGCGAGGGCCTTCAGCTCGTCACTGCCAATCATCTCTCGATTCCACCACAGGGGCCAAAACGTAAGAGTTGTTTATGCCACTTTGCACATGGAGAACTAAGTCTGAAATGAGGGGCACCATTATAAAGAAGCCCCGTGCAAAACACTAATGACTTTCTGCACTTTGCATATTATATTATTCTTCTCACTTATTTGTGGGGGAGAAAACTCTCTTCTGATGCTTTGTAAGACTTCCTTTTCACAGGAAAGCAACACCTGAACAAAATATCAAAATGGTAGAGGTAAAAACTCAGACTCCATGATAGGCACAGTTGTCACCAAATATCAGCGCGGCCACAGAAAGCTAAGATGAAAGGAAGGAGAGGAGCGGAGAGCCTGTGTCTAGTCACACCCGCGCTCTGGAAGCTCTTATCCTGTGCTTTGTAATGAATCGCCTTCCTTCACATGATCAAAAGCCGAGGCCCTGTCCTGAGCCCCAGCTGGAACTGAGGTGGCACACATCTGCACGCTCACATCTGGCACCCAGGCATTCGTCCTTCTGCATGCGCCAGAAAGTCTATCTAAAGGGAAAATGGACTTCTTGGCATCGTCCTCCGGGACCTGGTAATGTGTTGCACCCTTCTTTCCTGCACCAGCTTTCTGTTGTGAACTTCCTTTCTGCCATATGGAATGGGCTAGAAACAGAGCCCCAGATGCTTCTTCTGCAGAGCGGTTTGTATGATGGTTGCTGATGCATCTTCACACCGTTCCTATCCTGGCTGATGAGCAGCCTTGGCAACCCACAGATTCAGATGCAAGCAGAGGGTGAGAGCTGACTTCCTAGTGCCCCACTTCTCTCCCTGTACTTCTGTCCCCCTGTCTCTTCTCTCTCAAAATATCTCTCACTTGTTCACACCATCAGTCTAACTCACAGGACATTCCTCGTCACAGAGACAAGATGAACAACACATGGTGGTAGGATCTACAAACCAAAAGGTGTGGATTTGAAACCCAGAGTCTCCACCTGATAAAGATGACATTAAAGCATAGGAGCCTAGAGCACATTTAAAGCCAAATGTTACCTGGTCACAGCCTAGCCCTGTTTCTTTCTATGTTACCATGGGCACTTTCTTTACAATTGCTGAGTTACATAACATACCCAGAAGATTTTTGTGAAAGCTAGAAAATCAATGAGCACAATGTATTTAAGCCACTGCTGAGAGGAAAGATTGTAGCTAATTGGTGTGAGAAGTCCTTCTGTCTACGTGTTGCGTTTATTGGTTAATGAATAAATCTGTTATGGCCAGTGGCTTAGCAGAATAGAGCTAGATGGAAAAACTAAACTGAATGCTCGCAAAAGAAGGAAGAGTGAGTGGGACGCCATGTAGCCACCAGAGGGAAAAGACGTGAGCTGCCAGCTGGAACCTTGCCGGTAGGCCACAAGTCCTGTAGTAAAATGTAAAATGATAAAAATGGGTT